TGAAATTTAGCTGGAAAAAATAAGAGGCCCAGAATAGCCAAAGCGATCCTTAGCAAGAAGAGTGAAACGGGTGGCATCGCTATACCAAACCTTAAACCATAGTACAGAGCAATAGTAGCAAAAATGGCATCGTGTTGGCACCGAAACAGACATGAAGACCACTTGTTCAGACTAGAAGACATAGAGACAAACCCACATAAATACTGTTATCTCATACTAAACAAAGGTGCCATAAACACACATTGGAAAAAACATAACCTCTCCAACAAATAGTGCTGGGAAAATGGGAAATCCATATGTAGCAAAATGAAGTTAATCACCTCTCTCTAACCTTGTACATAACTTAAATCAAAGTGGATAAATGACCTAGGCATTAGACCAGAGACCCTACTCCTACTAGAGGAAAAAGTAGGCCCTACTCTCCATCATGTTGACTTAGGAACCAAATTCCTCAAAAAGACTCCCAAAGCACAAAAAGTAAAATAAAAAATCAATTAATGGGATAGTATCAAACTAAAAAGCTTCTTCACAGCAAAGGAAACAATAAAAAACATTAAGAGAGAGCCTACAGAATGGGAGAAAATCTTTGCCACTGGCACCTCAGATAAAGCATTAATCTCCAGTATATAAAAATTTATCAAAAAACTTAGTACCAAAATAAATAATAATAACCCAATCAACAAAATGGAAAAGGAAATGAACAGGNTCCACAGATGAATGAAAAAAGAAAATATGGTATATATACACAATGAAATATTACCCATCCATAAAGAAGAATGAAATTTTGGCATTTGCCAGTAAACTGATGAAAATGGAGACTCTCATGCTAAGTGAAAAAGCCAATTGCGCACCCCCCCCCCAAAAAAAAAGACCAAATGTTCTCTCTGATATACTACTTTAACATACAATAAGGGAAGGGGGAATAGAAGTTGATTAGATTAGTTATAGGGGAAGGGAGGTGGAATGGGATTAGGAAAGACTGAAGACTGTAGAATAAATTAGACATAACTTTCCTATGTTCATATATGAATATATAACCAGAGTAACTCCATATTATGTACAACCACAACAATGAGAAGTTATACTCCAGTATAACATGTCTTAATACACTCTAATGTCATGTATATCTAAAAGAAACAAATAAGAAATTGTTTTCACAAAGAAAACGAAAGTAATTTATGGTTTGAAAATATATATTCATTTCTTAAATATTTGTGGATTCAAAAATATTAACATTTATTTATTTTTGTTTTCGAGTGGAATTTTTGTATGTACTAAAACAAATTACCTAACCTTCAATGAGTTATTTTTGTTTGTAAAAATATTGGATAAAACAAATGAAGCAAAACAGCATATTCAATGAATTAACAAAAGTATCAGAAGAATGAAATGTATAAAAACCTCAGTTCTTGGCCTGTAATTTCAACTCAGTGTGTAAGTCATTAATTSATTATTGCCACCTTCTGAAGACAATCTAATTTATCAATTTTCAGTGTTCCAATTTAGAGAAATAAAATATTTTCTGATTATTTTCAAGTTCTAATAGAACTTTACAAAAAAGCTCAAAAGAAAGGAGAACAATATAATGAACCATCATTTACCTATTGCCCAACAGTGTTCTGCAACTTTTCTTCATTCTTCAGCCAATGTATTTTTCAGTACTTCGTGCATCCTAAGTAAGACCTATAAGCTTTGACACTGGATTCAGATTCATTAAATACTTCTTGATCTTCAAAAGATTTTAGCCTCTCAACTTGGTGATATCATTTAAATTTGTTGGACTGCCCTCAGGAAATGATTTCTCAATTTCAGTTATTTAAATTTCTTCATTTAAAAATCAAAGTTAGAATATTAAACTGGATAAGAGCGCTCCAAATGTGTTTCTCTCATTAGTCCCTCTCTAGAGTATTTTTTCAGTGACCTAGGTAGATGTTTTAGAACTACTGTAGTGTATAACATATGGGTAAAACTTAAAGTCTTATGCTAAGTAAAAGAAGTCACACAAAGGGCTACTACTGGATGATTCAATTGGTTTTTACTGAAAGTCTTAAAAGTAAAACTATAGGGAGAGAATATATATCAGTGGTTGCAAGAAAGCAGGGATATAGAGAAGAGACAAAAGCTGATAATGATGAGACTGTTGTGTTTGACKGAAATGCTATATATCTACATTGTGATACTGTTTACGTGACTGCATGAGCTCGTCAAAATTCACCAAGCTGCACACTTAAGAATGGAGAATTTTATTGTGTACAAATAAATTATGCCTCAATAAAGCCAATACATCCAACTCAAATAATTATCTATCAAGTGGTAGTCTGATGGACTAAATACAATGGGATTGCCATCTCACCCCAATGGAATAACATAATACTAATGCAGTTAAAAGTAGCATTTGATTTTGGAAAACTACTTCACATTTTTGGTTCAGACCAAACTTGCAATCTATTAAGATATTTTATGTGTTTAGGTTGTTTAAATAAAATTCAGTATTACATATTAAAAGTTTTAAGATTCTCTTATATTTAAATCTGCCACATGAACTTGGCAATATCTTTTGGCATCTGCATTTCATTGTAGGAAATATCAGGTATTCCATACAACTTTGTGTGATCCCTCATTTGGTCAGCATGCTTTCATTCTAGGGAATTTGTGTTCTGTGTAAAAAAGTCATTGTGAATTTGTTTATTTTAGTTCTATACAAGATCATATGAATCATATGATCTATATATGGTAACAGGATCTAAACTGATAAAATCTCTTTTTAAGAAAAGTGTCATATGTTCTGAGTTAATAATTTAAATTAATTTTTGAAACAAACATTTTAGATCTTTCTTTTAAGGCCACTAGTGTTAATTACTCTAACACTCATTTCCTTCAGTTCTCTAAACTTTTATCTTTTAAAGGGTGTTTCTGTATTTAAAGAAAAAACTACATAATACTAAACTTTCATACATAAATATATCTTAAAATGCCATATATTTTCCATACAATTTAATACATTAAATATGTAATTTTCATCTTTTATAATTACATAATGTTACTCTTTGTCTAAACTTGCAATGTTCCTATCCTTCTGAATTATTGTAGAAACACATACAACACACACACACACACACACACACACACACACACAAAAGAAATGTTCTTTCAAAATAAATTCCTGTTCATTTTTAGATTTAAGATATGTAAACACATTCAACTATAAAACAAAATGCTCATCTCCCAAACAAATGAGAAGAGGAGAATTTTGCCCTGACAACATTCATTATTAAGATGAATGGAGAATATTGAGATGAGAGTTCTTTAACTTTCACATAGAGTGTTTTTTGCTTTGTTTCTTTGTTTCTTTTTCTTTTTCTTTTTTTTTTTTTAGTTTTTGTTTTGTTTTGCTGGGGAGCAAACCAATGGTCTCACATATTATGCAAGTGCTTTATTGCTGAACTACAACTCCAACCTCCATGAACAGATTTATATAATAAAATATTCTAGATTTCCCAGTTATAAGATATGCAAAGATACTTTAAATTATATTATAGTCTCAGAAATGATATTCTATGGATTTGATATTCTTTAATGGTTTACTATTTTTACTTACCCAAGAATTTCAGTAATTACATGTCTTGCAAKATTCTCAAATAGAAAAATTATAATGCATGAGAAGGAGAAGTCATATTTAAACCAACCTTATTTATTTTCTAGATACTTGAGCTTTTCCTCCTGATCATGTATCTATTCAGAAATAACTTCTCAGGGGAGAGATGTGCAGCTGATTCTTTCTCTAGTGTTTTCCATTGTTGGTAAAGGAGAGCAAATTCAAACCAGTACACAGAATAGAAGAAATTAACTTACAGAACTGTATATAATTTAGGGCATGTACATAGGGGTTTGGCTGATCTTAAATGTACACATTCATAATGTACACATTTCATAATGTCTTCTTTATTATACTGCATATGGAAATGTCAATGAAATGTCATAAAATGTTAGTTTGCATTACATTTATATCAAGAATTATGGTTAATTCAACAGGCTGTTATTTCTCTAATTCAGTTATTTCTCTAATTCGTTATTTCTCTAATTCAGTTCCTGTGGGATAGTCACTGGAAACCCTGTAGGCATCTGAAAGGTCATTTTCAATGTCACCAATAGACATTAGAGCTAGGAGGAAACTACCCCCCAGTGGCAAGATATTTTAAAATAACTAAATATTTTAAAACATTGTTTCAGGTTTTAAATCTGAAAAATAACACCTATCATTTTATCTGTATTGAATATCATAAAAAGAATCCAGAAATAAAAGTGTGAACTCTACTAAAAAACAAAAACAAAAAAATGTCCTGGTAAATTTGAAATAGGTGAGAAGAGGCTAAATGAAGAAATAAATAACTCCAGTGAAATATCACAAACTATATGGTTTTTAAGTTTGCTGAAAAATACACGCAATCATTTGCCATCAGTGTTTTTGCAAATGATATTTTCTAAATATATTAAACTTATTTACCACCATATTCTTGCTTCCAGGGTGCTCTACAATATAGCTGAGAAGATAGGACAGATCCCCACTTTACTCAAAACATAAATCAAAGGGAACAAATCAAAAGTAATCAAGTTTACCAAAAGATGTTATGACTGCACAATTGGCAACTTGAGTGCTGAATTTAATATGGCAAAAATAAATTCACATTTTTAGATACCTTCTCCATAATAGTATAACTTCCTAGAACTAAAATCATAAAAGAGTAGGAGATGAAGAACTCTGGACTATAAAAAGATTATTTTAAAGCATACTGGTTAAGAGAAAGGAGGGAGGGGAAGGAAARAAGCAAGGAAGGAAGGGACCCAAATATTAAAAGAACACACCAGCAGGTCATTTCTTGAAATACCTTGTAGATCACTTTATGACAACTTGAAAGGAATTCTAAAACTCATGAAATGCCAATTATACAGAATAAGGTAATTTTGCACACACTCTTTTTAAAAAGAGTGGTTCATCTTACCTCTACTACCAGTTGCTGAAGGGATGGTGATGCTACAGGATGCAGACTTGAGTTCCCCCTTATGGGACTGTGGAGGCTAATATAAGCCACAACATTTTTTTGCAGAACCTTTTTGAAATCCTGAAATTAAAAAAAAAAAATCTATCTTTAACATAAATAAAAATAATTACTTTATTATTTAGCTGTTAAATGATAAAGGGTTTTTCATTAAAATCATTATGTTGCAGCAGTACATTTTTAAAAGCACTTAATAAAATAAGTCAAGGTTGGAAGAAGATTTTAAATAAGGGTGATAAGGAGTTAGGTACAAAATATGATTAAATATTTTAAAACATGTTCTGATAAAAGTCAAGTTTTAAAAGAAAATGTTTTTAAAAACATAGCATTGCATGGAATTCAACTACAGAATACAGGATGGATATTTGCTTCAATGAGAGCACTTAATTTTATAGTCAGTGAGTTAGACAAGGATGAACTAATTCCATGATTAATAAAATGAGTCCTTTCCTTTGGAGCTTTGAGCTACTCTTACACACAATACCTGTTATTCTTAGAAAAATGGGGCATTATACAATTGTGACCCTGCAGATAAATTTTATAACAAAAAAACCAATGCATTTCATGCACATTAATGACATAAAATTATTCACTTGTTAAGTTTTCCACATGTCTGCTTACCCCAACCCTACAAAATTGAAAACAACTGACTATATTAATAATGTACTACCAAAGGGAGCTTGTGTTATTTTTCTGCTTTACTTACACAAATATTTAATGAGTAATTCTTATGTAGAAGTTCCATTGAACATCTTAAAAACTATATTAAGTCATGCCTTGGGAAAGTATCTTTCCTCTTTCTGAGGAGAAAGATTATAAGGACTTCTATCCCTAGCAAATCTTATCTCTATTTTATGTTGAAAATTTAGCTATTACTCTGTAGGAGAGGTAAAGAGATAATTATTTAAAATTTYAAAATGTCTTAACTGAACACAAATAATTTATTTTAATCTTGAATAATTTATCTCTAAGCTGGCTCAAATAATATCTATTATTACTTAAAACCTATGAAAAAATTGCTTTTATTTGCACACTATGACATACACACATTCTGTACATGCTGATTCATATAATCCTTATGAGAACCCCTCAAGATAAGCATTAGTGAACTTATTTGAGTATTCCAGACTTAGAGAATGTCACATGTTTTATAAAAGAAAGAATTTGAACTCTGACTTTTTTTACTCTAAAATTAGTAGTATTTCCACAATATCCAGTGAAAATTAAAGATTCTTCACAGAAGAAATGGTATTTTTAATAAAAACATTCAAKGATGTGTAATATTTTTCTTTAATGACCAAGTTCAGTATTAAGTCCATTCTCTAAAATTCTGTCACTACAAATCCCATTTTTAAGTTTATTGGCCAATATCACCTAATCCTCTTAACTACCACTGTGGATTTCCAGGGATTTCTACCCAAGCAAAATTAAATAGCACAACGTGGCATGCCAACAAGACCTTTCTTCACTCTCCTTCACCAGAGAATATACTTAGAACACAAGTTGGTTTTAATTTAAAAGAAAAATGTTTCATTCTCACATGGAGTAGATCTGTCAGGTCAACCAATAGTATTCTAAATTTCTCCTCAGTTGCTGGTTAGCAAACACCTTTATGGATTGCACTGAAATAATCTCTGAGTATACAGAAAGTTATAAAAATATATTTTATCAGCCAACAATGAAACTTGCATATTTTTGACCATTTTTATTACTCACACGCCTTTGTCTTTCTAGTCATGCAAAAATTCAGAAGGTGAATAAATGTATAACCGGTTGTCAAATATATACATCATACAGACACAAACACATACTAAAAACCAATGTATGGAACATTGGTCCCATAAAACATATTAGGACCGGCTGGGCGCAGTGGTGTGTGCCTGTAATCCCAGTAGCTCCAGAGGCAGAAGCAGGAGGATCTCCATTTCAAAGCCAGCCTCAGAAATTTTTCGAGGAGATAAGCAACTCAATGAAATCCTGTCTCTAATAAAAATACAAAATAGGGCTAGGGATGTGGATCAGTGGTCAAATGCCCCTGAGTTCAATTCCTGGTACCCACTGCCCCCCGCAAAACAAAAAGAATTAGAACCAATTATCCATGTGTGTGTGTGTGTGTGTGTGTGTGTGTGTGTGTGTGTGTGTATTTTCTAATCTTCTGACTAGAAAGAAATTTTTCTAAGAAATATTTTTTCTTTCTATGGATTCACACATTATAGTATTTGTATATTTGACATCTGATAGAGAAAATATAAAATTACCAAAAAGCACAATAGGTTAATTGAAATTTAAAAATAAATTTAGATTTTATTAAACACAAAAATATCTACTCCACTTGAAAATTTAATTCCTCACATACGTGCAAGTCTATATTGTTTCAGTCCACAGGCTATGATGCTTGAGGCTCAATTAAACTCAAGGATTTTCTGCAATGTAATTTCCTATGAATTTGAATTTAGGATATTTAAGTTAGGAAATAATAATGTCAGACAAGAGTACTTTGTGAACATAGTTTAGAAATATATACGCATATATAATTTAGGATTAATATAAATTGTGAAAGTTAATCAAGAAGATTGTACATATATTTAAATAAAGAAGCATATTTGGAGTTTGAAAAGAATCTTTAAGACATTTTCTTAATATTTATAAGAAAAATGAAACACTGTTTCATTGTTTCTGAATTATTTAAAATAGACAAAATCACATATTCCCTAAATTGTTTTTGTACTTGTTCACTAATCTTAAAAGTAAGTAATTTGGAATAAGAATTTGAGAGGTTGGTTCAGCTTTAAATTTTCCATCTTACTTACAAATTTGTCAATTTAAAAGGTTCTTAAAGCAATAGAATTTCTTCATTTGGAGTAATTCTTTTGAATATGGAACATTCAAACCACTAATTTGCATATACAAAAGCATTTCAATTTGCAGTTTGTAAATCTTGCTGAACTCTGCACTGTAAAAATGTTCTCATCCTCACAATTTCCTTCCCTTCAAATTAAAAAAAAAAGTTGCTATTTTCTTTTCTACACTTCAGATATTTGCTTTGATAGTCAATAGGCATTTTATATTTTTGAGTGCTTAAATAAAAAATATAACAAGAGAATTTCCCATTACGTTAAATTTTTTCCTTTTCTCATTAGGTAGATTTTTTTCCTGAGATAGTGAACAAACTAAGCTATAAAATGGTGTTCTAGTTAAAACTAAGCATTTTGGGGTCTGTATATTTCCATGAAATCTCCCTTTTTTTCATTATTAAAGTAAATAAAACATGTAGGAGATTCACAATGTTTGCATCGTTGTTAAAAGGCATCACCCCATAATGGGTTGCCATATTTCATTTAAAATATAGTGCATCTATGCTGTGTAGTCATATCAGAAGCATCTGAAACATAAACATTCTGATTGTATTCTGTCTGTGCCCCCATTTCATGATTTATTTCATTAAGACACAGGCTTCCTATGGTATTTAAATAAATAGATAAGGAAGTGGGTAGGAAAGAAGTAGAAGAAGGATGAAGGATTGCAGAGAAGAAAGGGAGAAAAGAGGGTAACCACTATTTGAATTCAGTCTCAATATTGTATAGATAACATGTAATGATAAGTTAATCAATTACATAGTAGATTATAGATTATTTCCTAATACTAGATAATTCCTGGACAGTGTTTTTGGTTTTGGATTTTAGTGTAATGGTATGTATCAACTGATCCTTTTCTTTTCTAGTGCCTGTACAGTTTTCTTATAAGGAGAAGTACAATAATTAAATAATCACTATTATGAGTAATATCAAAGTTTGTAGTTCTAGTGGCAACAGGAAGATTAGATGCATATCATACATGATTTACTCTACATGGGTCTACCTCTAATTCTTGCAAGTGATCTCAGCAAATCATCAGTTATGACCCCTAGTTCAGAAGCGCAATATCATCTTTGGCTACAAAAATTGTATATTGTCTACCAAAAGAAGAAAATATTATTATTATTAATGTTTTACCTCTCCCCATTCGTATGAGCCAATATTGCCCCAGGTTGTTCCTCCCCATGAGCAGAATACAATAGTGCGGTCAGGTCTCCATCCTTTCTTAACCCTTAACATCAATGCTCGGATAAATGCTGTGATGATTGCAGTACTACTAGCCCATTCTTGTCCATTATAACTGTATCCAGAGTAATGGTGACTGCCAACTATAATATATCGGTCTGGAAACAGAAGGAAATGAGCCATTAAAACAGAATATAAACTTTAACAATAAATTTAATGACATTTACATAATCCTATTGCATAAGTAAGCAACAATTAAACAAAATTGTTCTAATAATTGAGACTACTTTAACACTTTTCACCCACTGTTTTGATTCACACATCTGTGTATATCAAAGCAGAGGCAGCTGTTAAACCCAATTATGAATCTGAAGCTTAGATCCATATAACTGTCCTTTGCAGCATGAATATTTATTAATGAAGTATACAAATATGCCACAATGAAATCTTTATCTAACATTTTTCCAGAATCCTAGTGGGAAGTGTCCTGTAAACAATGTGTGCATGCTCAGTAAATATTAAAGAACTATAAATACATCTGAGGAAGCAGTTAGTCAGTAGCTGTAAATATTAAAAATGTGGTAGTCATGTGTGGACTTTGTAATAAATGAAGTGTTTAGGCAATTAATTACAGCTTATAGTTTTAGATAGACCTTCAGATAATGGTCTTCTCCATTATCTGAAGAAAAAAATGAAATTCACCAATGTCCATTTTATAAGATTATTGAGATTCATTAGACACACTGTTACAAATGTTTCCATGACAGATAAATGTTGCCCTGTTCAAAGCACATTGACAACTATTGTCACCTATCTTATTGTACTGCAGTAGGTTAAAAAAATGTTATTGAATGTTATTGATAAAAATAACATAACTCAATTGATTTGATCAAAGTRATCTTTTACATCTTTGTTAAAAGTTTTTCATTATCATTTCATTATGACATCTTTCATATCTTAATAATGAAGTATGTAGACTCTTCTTGGGTTGAGATCCAGGATTTGCAACTCACTAATTGTATGATGTTAGAAAGTTTACTTAAACTTTCTATGCCTTAGTTTCTTCAACTCTAATATGTAATACAAGTAATGCATCCAAGATTCAGTTATATTGAGTTTTAAGTGAGTTACTCTATAAGGCACTTTGAACAGTGCCTGACACAAAGTAGGTCCTACACCTGTGTGGAATAAATGGATCAGGTATTGACTTCATGACAACAACAAAAAAAATGCTGTAACAAAATGTCATCTCATGAAACTTTTCTGATTTTCCACACTGATTTTGGAACAAGCAATGGGCTTGATCTGTCACCATTTTATTAATACTTAATTACTGGTATACATAGGGGGCCTGCAAATATTGAAAAGTTGAAAATTTATGGATTTATCTCCCAAATATGAAAGAAAATTCTGCATTAGCTGTCTAGATTCCAAATCAAACATATCAAAAACTTAATATTAATTTATAATTATTCTTAATTTTCAATCACTAAGAAAATCATGTGAATCAGTAACTAGTATTTTTTGGTAGAATTAAAACTAAACAAAAAATTAGTTTTGTTAATATACACTGAAGAATCCTAATGGAAAAAAATTCAAATAATTTTTGGTAGATTGAATTTTCTTTATCCTGAAGTTAGTATAATTTTGTTCAACTGGGTTTTCCAACAACAAATTGCAAATACAGCAATGATAATGAATATTCTAGTGCTTCCCTTAGAGTTTCTTATGATGAAAATTTGTTGAAATGGTTGAAATAAAGTAGCAAGAATTTTCAAATTCATTTTTATCTTGTGTTTAGAGATATCATCACCAGAGCTACAATATTGCTAATACAAGGAAATCAGAGAGAATACATACATGTTTATGAACTTTTTCAGAGTTGACTGGCAAGAAACTGGGAGAATATAAAACTTGATCTCAAAATTCTCTGGGTTAGCAATTAGGTTAATTTGATTAATGCTATGGAGAAGGATAATTCTCCACAGAAAACTCAGTAAATGTCCTTAACCACATTATTATAGTTTGGATATGAGTTGTCTCCCACAAAATCTCCTGTTAATGTGGGAATGTTAAAACATGAAATGATTGGACTGTGTGAGCTCTACCCTAGTCTATATTAGTTTGAATGGACTGACCAGGTGGTACCTGTAGGCAGGTGGACTTTCCTGGAGGAAGTAGGTTACTGGAGGCATGCCCTGGAAGAGCTGGCTTTTCCCTACAGCCCCTTCTCCCAAGTGCTGTCTGTCTCTGTGGCTGTCCCTATATCTGTCTCTATCTCTCACTCTCTCTGCTTCCTGACCCTTGCAAGAGCTGAAAGGGTTTCCTCTACTTAGCCTTTCCCTCATGATGTACTGCCTCACCTAGAACCCAAAACAATGTATGGAGCCAGCTGTCTATGGACTGAGACCTCTGAAATTGTGCTCCAAATAAACTTCCTCCTCTAAGTTGTTCTTGTGAGGTACTTTGGTAACAGCAATGAAAAGACTAACTAAAACACCCATCAAGAGAAGTGGCCCAAGTTTAACACACTGTTGTACTCTATACTGTATAACAGGCTAATTAAGACAGTAATATATGATTCAGCTTTATGATACATTTGATTGTGTTGATATTATTCTCTCTATATACATATCATTAGTTTTACCTTTGTAAGTCTATGTAATGTCATCTGAAACACCCATCGGCAGCCCATAACAAGACAGAAAATGATTTAAAATTTAGCCAGGTGGTCATTTACATAAACACCCTCAAAACCTAATACTGTGCAAACACTAGGAAGAAATGTCAGCAGAACAAGGATCAGGGGTGAACATCAATTAACAATGAAAGATTACATTTGAAGATAAAAGCTTTTATGTGTAAAAAAAGCATCATTAAAAACTAAAATATTTTTAATGTTTTTTCTTGTTAAAAATAAAAATTTAAATGTTGTTATATAGTGAGGGAAATATAAAACAGACAAGAAAACATTTGCTTCTGCATGACATGTCAGTTTAACAAATCTAAACTCATTCTTGGTTCACTCCCCTCCCCTGGTACACATAAACTCCCTACTGAGGTTTACTTTAGAAGATATATAATAGGAAAGACAATAAAGAGAGACTTCTTAGTTTGATAATGATTCGCAGTGTAATACAAGTTTAAGATATTTAACTATGTTATTAAATTACTATAGAATATTTCCTGTTAAATTTCATATCAATTTTTGATTTTAAATATTTAATTCTACTTACCTGGAGAGGCCATGCCCTTTAAATATCCAATAACATTAGTGACTGTTTTGAATTTTGTGACTGTCTGAATTTGCATGCTGACAATTCTTATTTCTGAAAAAAAGTTTAAAAAGATGTTTTTTGTCTATATTATTCTGATATTTTTCTTAAAAGATTAACATTTATCTATCTAAAATTATCAGGAAAAGAATTAGAAATACTTGAAATTTTCAGATAAGCAAAATTATACTTTTTTTGCCAAATATTTATTGACTACCTTAGAGGAAAGTCTATTTCATGTGCTTGTTATACAATGATGACTAAGATAACAATTGCTGGCCTGGTAGAACCTCAGAGCCATAAATAGGCAACTCTAACCTCACATTCAGGGTTATAAGGTGGTTCAACATGAAAGCACACAGGAGAAAAACTCACATGTACAAAAAAAAGAGAGAGAGAAAAAAACATAAATAAAAATATTGCCTGAGAAATAATGAATATTTCCCTATCTTAAGCACGCAGACACACACACACACACACACACACACACGGAAAGAAACACTTTTAAAACTCTAAAGTATTATACAAATTAAAAGGATAAAGATACTTAGAGCTATACATATTTTCATATATTGGGTTCTTTATTTCCACCTATGTTCATAGGCCCCTCATCTCTACTATAAATCCTAATTATGTACCTTGAGTTATTCTATTTATACTTATTATTGAATACTTTGCAAATAAGCTGAAGACACTAGTCAGGATGGACGAGGTCACAGGCCTGACATGGTCTTTGAAGGCCTTTGGTCCTGATGTGTTAATCTTATACGTGGTTGGTCCTGGGCAATCTGGATAGGGTGGGGTTCTGGTGAGGTGTAAGAACAGCCCAATGAGGTCAGGGGACCAGGCAGAGGGTAGCAATTAGAAAACAGTTCATGCTAAGCAGCCACCCTTTAATAGCAAGCCCTCTATTGTCACTTCTTACTGCTCAATGAAAATTATAATAAATAAGTTGCTTCTTCCTTAAATGGTACAAATTAAATTTAAATTAATAGTTTAACTGGAAACCCAGTACACTGATTCTGTTAAAATTATAACTGCAGAGAAAAGAAGTTCTGTGAGAAAGCCTGCATGTCTCACCTGTGGGACAATGTGCTTTTAATTTAGATCATGTGCATTTTTGTTAGTTTGTTTTCCAATCAATAGAACTTGTTTTTCAGAGCAATTTCAGGTTTGCAGAAAATACAAAACATTCAAATAGCTCCCTCTCTCCTCTGCTTCATATAAGTAGCATTTTGCATTAGTGTGGAATATTTGTTAAGTTAAAGATCCTGTATTATTTTTTTAAACTGAAGTCCATAATTTTTATTAGGGTTAATTCTTTGTGCTGTGCATCCTATGGGTTTTGACAAATGTATAATGACATATATCCACCACAGTAGCATCATACAGAAGAATAGTTAACTGCTCTAAAAATCCCCTGTGTTCCACCTATTCATCTTTCGTTACTCCCTGGCAACCACTCATCTTTTTACTTTCTCTATAGTTTTGCCTTTCCCAGAAAGTCATATAGTTGGAAAATTGTCATTTGTTTAATTTCCTATTCCAGATTTGTTCCAAATCATCCAGATAAGTGAACTTTCTTTTTCCTCCAAGCCCTTAGGATTTAGATATTACTGAAGAATATTTCCTGGTTTTCTAGCACCCAGTATTTATTTATTTTTCCTGATTCATCATTGAGTAAAACTCTCGATATATACAATAAACTGCTTGGAATATTACCTTACATTGATAAAGTGCCTTACAATTTACAGTAGTCAGTTACACACACACACACAGACACACACACACACACAYTAATTCTCACTGAATATCAGTTATCCTTGAACCATGAATTATATGAGTCATTATATTTATTTCCTGAATAAAACACATAGTGAAAGAATTAGGGCTTGAATCCAGGTCTTCATATAGTTAATATTTTTATCTGAACAACAAAGTGCTCTTTAAGACTCCATTTTAACTTTTTTGTTTTGAAATATTTATCAGGCAGCCAAAAGAAAAAGAATTAAGACAATGTAAGATAATGATCCACATCTAGATTTAACATGTTTATTTTCCTATATTTTTCTTGATGTTCTTCTCTAATAGTCAAATTAATACAATTTTACTAATTTCATTCCTACCCTGAAGTTAAAACTAATAATTTTCAGATAAGTACTTTAATATATTTGTAGGTAGGCAGAAATAAATAAATACAGGCAAAGATACGAACATATCCTACTACTTTTCAGGTTTTGGAATTTTATATAAATTATACCTTATTTTTCACTTAATATTATATTTTCCCAATTTTTCATGAAAGTAGATAGAGATCTGTATTATTTATTTATTTTTAATTGTAAATGGATACAGTACCTTTATTTTATTTATTTATTTTTATTTTTATGTKGTGCTAAGGATCAAACTCAGTGCCTCATAATGTAAGATGAGTGCTCTACCATTGAGCCACAACCTTAGCCCCTCTGTATTATTTACTTTAGCTATTCAGTAATATTTGGATTTTGGATCAAGGCTAAATTATTTTTCAGGTCAATTACTGAGGATTAACAAAGTTGATTCCTCTTTTTTGGCATTATGGTAAAGCAAAGAACACTTTTAAGTGTTTTGATGCACATGTGTTATGCTAATACAAGTGGAATTCCTAGCTTTTAATATATGCATATTCATCATTCAATTTCTTGTCTCTTATACTTGACTGTTTTCCGTTGTACTGTTTGTCATTGTTGGTTTTTTTAGAGGTTATTTCTTAGGATATTATTTTCTTATTAATTATGTGTATTAAAATATCTATTATATCTATAAATTAATATAGTCAAAYTTATCAATATTTTTACCAACAATATGTTGATAGGATTGTTTGTCTTGGCTTATAAATCATGTTCTTATCCTGTGACAAGAAATGTTCTTCAGGTGTTTTAAAACTTCTAAAGTGAGTTTTCAAATTTATGCCTTTCATGCAGCCATGTCCTGAAGCAGGCATTCAATTTTGTCTCTGGCTATGAATGGGCAACTCTTCTCACATAATTTATTGAATAATTAATTTTATTCTTCTTGAAGCTGTTGTCATATATAATAAGTTTTAATTTATATATGGATCTATTTTTAGCCTTATTATTGCTCTTCATTTAAACCTGTGACATCTTATTTAAATTATGTAGGTTTATTATATCTAAAATGGTCAATCTTCTATCATGAGCATCATTAGCATCAATATGACSATCATCCAATTGCATTATGATTCGATTTGGGAGATATTTATAAACTATTACTTTCATATGAACTTTAATATTAGCTCTTTGTATATCATGAGAAAACATTTCAAGATGTCATTGAGATTGCATGACATTAATAGATCCATCTGCAGAAATGATATTGARCAGCATGTGAATAAGAGATGCATCTCAATTTATTTCAGTTTATTTCATTAAAGCTTTTTTATTTTTCTGCACAAATGCTTTGCACAACTATTATTAAAATTAAATTTATTTTTATGGTTTCTCAGCTATTTAAAAAATATTTATAACTACTTATATTCCATATAAGAATGCTATTTAATTTTTTATTTTCATCTTCGAATGAGCTTCTTGTTAAACTTCTGTATGTTCTAATAGTTAACCTGTAGGGTTCTTATGAACATATTCAGTGAGGACAGTTCCTCACATGGATGGGTTTTTTTTTAATTTCTTTTAAATCTGCATAGCTTTTGCTTCTTGCTCTTAATTGATTGTTTTGTCTAGAACTTTCAGTGCAGTGTGGAATGGAGGCCAAGATAGCAAAATTGCTTTGTCTTTGTCTTTTATTCTTTAAAATAATGTTCCTCAGATTTTATCTTGGGRAAAAAAAAAACAGTTTGCTATAATTTCCCGGGAATCTTCTTTTATCAAATGAAGATCACTTCTATTCTTACTTCTCTAGAAGTTTTACCATAAATAGCTATTGAATCATCTATAACTATAAACTTTTTGCTTTGCAGCATTTAAAAATGCAGATATTTCCAGAATCAGTTCTACCTGGTCATATGTTTTCTGAATTTGATGATGAGTGATTTTCGAATATTTGCATATATGTGTGTGTGTGTGTGTGTGTGTGTGTGTG